CCTGATCTTCCTGTGACCAATTAAATAGCATCCCCTACTTGAGGAGACTGGTGAGTAAGGCTGTCAAGTGGGAGAACCCCTTTATAAAATGCTTATAAAAATTAGTGCATCCCAGGAACCATTGGACTCCATATCTTGTGGGGCAGCCCAGTCAGATATTGCAGATACTTTGCAGGGGTCCACAGTCAGGCCTCTGGAGGAGATAATATATTCTAAAACTTCAACTGTTGTTTTATCAAACTTGTACTTTTCTAAGTTGACATAGAACTGACTCTCCCAGAGCCTCAGTAAAACTCAGTGCTCATGTTGTATATGATGTATTGGGTCATTGGAGAAGATCAGAATGCCATCCAGGTGTATTATAACAAACTATTCCAGTATGTCCCTAAAAATGTCATTGACAAAGTGCTGTAATGCAGCAGGGACATTACAGAGCCAAAGGGCATGACCAGATATTCAAAATGCCCATTCTGAGTCTGGAAAGCCCTTTTCCATTCATCCCCTTCCTATATACAGACAAGATCATAAGCCCCACACAAGTCTAATTTGGAAAAAAAGCTGGGCCTGTCAGAGCTGCTTAAAAAGCTTATTCATCACAGGCAGTGGATAGCAGCTGCAGATAGTTATCCCATTTAGAGCTCTATAATCAACACAGGGGCTGAGGGACCCATCCTTCTTAAGGACAAAAAAGATTGGGGCTCCTGCTGGAGATTTTAAGGGGCAGATAAACCCTTTGTTTAAGCTCTCCTGAATGTACTCCCAGAGCATGTGTAACTCTGGCTCTGAAAAAGTATAAATGGAACCCAAAGGAACTTCAGCCCCTGGTTTCAGATCAGTGGGGCAACTGCAGGGTCTATGAGGTGGGAGGATGCCCGCCTTCTTTTCAGCAAAAACATCTGCCAGGTCTTGATACTTTTCAGGAATGACCACTGTAGCCAGGCACTGCACTGGCTTCCCCCACTTTAGAGGGTTGGGCACATTCAGGTGGAGAACCAGGGAACCCTTGAGGCTCAGGATTGTCAGGAAAAGAGTGCAGCTCCCCTGAGGGCAAACGATTCTACCCATAGTTAGGAGAGTTAAAGGAAATTTCTCTGGCTTGCCAGTGCACCATGCAGTTATGCAACATGAGCCAGTGGGTGCCCAGGATAACTGGATATTGAGAGGATCTGATAAGCCCAAACTGCAACTTCTCCTGATGTCTCTATATGGTTGCAATAAGCAGAGCAACCTCATGGGAGACTGGTCCCAGTGACAGAAGGGGCCCATCACTTGATTCCACCAGGTCAGGTGGATCCCAGCACTGGGACCACTGAACTGGGATTTGATGGGCTTTTGCAGAGTCTGCATCCATAAAATTACTGGAGGCTCCTGGGTCCACCATTGGTTTTCATAGTTGGGTGGAAAAGCTGGAGGGGAACCTGGAGTGGGGAGGGCTGTAGCCTCCCAGGGGGACATAGAAGAGAATGCTGAGGTTGAGGCAGGTACCCTGTGCTGATCTGAACACTGATTTACCCAGTGACTGACTCCTCCCCTCAGTATAAACATTGGCCCTGTGTCCACCATTGCTCTTTTTCCCCCAGTGACGGGTGGGTCTTTGCTGTGTCCATTTGCATGGGTTCTGGCTGCTCCTCTGCCACTGGTGAGGGTTTGGTTTGACAGTGATATCCTGGAGCTGCTGACTGAGAGGAGGTGAAGATCTGGCATTTCTGAGAGGGATGGCCCCTTTTCAGGCACTGATCAATTAGCTGGAGGTCACTGCCAATGCAAATGTCAACAAGGGTTCCTAGATCCTGAGGCAACTTGATTCATGCAAACTCACCTTTAACTTCCTCAATCAGCCCTTGACAGAACTGGTACTACTGTGCTTCTTCATTCCACTGGATCTTTGCCACCAAATGCCAGAACTCAGATGTATAGGTGGACAAAGATTGCAGCCCCTGGGTAAGGGTTTGAAGAGCCATTTTCACTGAGCACCTCAAGTAAGGGTTACCAAAAGGGATCTTCATGTCCTTCACAAAGTCCTCATAGTTATCAAGGAGAGGGCTAGAGATCTCCAGTAGGGGAGATACCTACAGCAGGGTCTTTCTGGTTAGGAGGCTAATTAAGAGTCCAATTTTGGCCCACTCAGTGGGATAAGTTTGGGACTGTGACATAAACAAGAGCCTGTACGGATTAGTGAAGCCCTGAAACTTCCCTGGTGTTCTGTTGCTCTTACCAGGGAGAGGCATCTTGGGTTCATGATGCGGCAGGAGAGAACAGCCTTGCAAGGTAGCATCCTGCTGCAGGAGTGCTCCTAGCTGTGTCTGTAGGGAGGTCAGTCAAGTTATAAGGGACTGGGGTGTAGCCAGTCTGGTCTAATGATTAGGCCACTAAGGAAAAGCAGGGCCCGGGACTGGGTCAAAGGGCAGGAACCATATACCAAAGCCAGAAGGAAATCAAGAAGAAGAATCCACAACACAATCCAGGGTCTGGATCTAGGGGTCAGATGCTGAGTACCGATCCAAGAGGCAATCCACAGGATGAAGTCTGAAAACAGAGCCAAACCAGGGTCAGGAGCCAGGAAACAGAATCTCAGGGAAATCCAAAGTCCAAATCCAGAAATAAGCCAAAAACCAGGGTCAGGAACTAGAGGAACCAGGAGGCTTGCCACAGCAGACCCGTGGCCCCAGCTGGTGCTAAATGGATAGGTGGTGCTCCCAGCAGCCAGTCAGGAGGTTTGCTGCTCCTAAACAGGGGCAGAAGTCATTAGCTGAGGCTTAACCCAGATGTGGCTGCTGCAGTACTTGGCTCAGGATGGGCCTGCCTGATCAGCATCCCTGACAAATTTGCAGTTTATCAACTAACCAAAGCTTATATATGTATACACACACACTTATATATCCATATATCATACACTTCCATGAGCTGAAGCTTTGTGCTTTCTTCACATCCTTTCAGAGCCTCTGATGAAGTGTGTTTCAGCTCAGGAAGGTTTCTGCTCTCTCTCTCTATATATGTACACACACATACATTAATATATGTATGTGCATGTATACATGCAGGGCTGGGATGATGCATATGCTAAGGTGCAGTTGACAGCCCAGAGATTGCAAGTTTGAAACAATAGCAGAAGTGCTCACTTTGTGGCCCTGTCAGATTCCAACGAATCTGCGAATTCTGCTAAATACCTTGTCACAAGGGTGTGAAAAGAAAGGAATACACAGACACTTTGATTAGTTTATAACAGGGGTGTCATTAGTATAGGGATGTCAAATATACAACCTGTGGGCCAGATCTGGCCTGCAGAGCGCCACTATCCAGGCCCCAGTGCTGCCCCTGGATCTAATCAGACCTATGTGGGGCACAGCACACTCCTGTGGTGTGAGACTAGTTTGCAGGCCAGATCTAGCCCACAGATCCCTTCACCTATGCCGTCACCCTCAACTATAGGTGACAAACCAGCTGGAACAGCTGCAGGATCAAGTGACTGGAGGAGGGGCCCATGGACTGGCCTCATGTCACTCATCCACTTTGACACCCCTTGTCTATAAGGGGCAAATCTACCCTGCCTTCTACTTGACTTCAGACTAACACAGCTAACTACCTCTCTCTGAGGTTGTCCAGCCACAGCAGGCTGCTCTCCCAACCCCTCCCTGGCTTTCTCATTGCCAGTCCTCTATTTACAGAATGACAATGTGCTAAAGTAAAACAAACACACATTCTTATTGGAACAGGAACTAGCAGGCTCTGGTATCCGGGGTCCCCTGGTCAACTCCTCCCTCAGCCTTGCTGTCGGAAAAGGAATGAACTTTGAATAGAAATCTCTACTCTCCCAGGCTCTTTCTGGTACACGGCCCCCTCTAGAGCTGGAGAGTTTTGGCCACCTCCGCGTGGTGCTCATAAGTCTGTAGTTTATGCCCTCATTTCAATGCTCGGGTTCTCTCTTTCTCTCTCTCTCTTTGTCAGATACACACACACACACACTCACACTGCTTCTCCCCTCCCCAGCTACTCCTGAACTCTCTTGCCTTCTCCTGACTTCAGTCAGCCCTTCTGAGATCTTTTAAGATCATCTATGTAATGTAGCCTCTTGAATATATCTGTCTTTTCTTTCCTTTCCCTGTGCCAGAAACCTCAGTCTGCCAACAACTGGGATAACTTTTCAGCTGGTTACCAGCATTTTTCTCATTTGCCAACCAGCACTTTATTGTATCAAGTGGAAAAGTTATGATTTGACTTCTGAATAGGAGGATCAGTCTCAGGAGAAACAGGTTCTCAAGGGGATCGGGAATTCAGGCACAGCAGCAACTTTCAGATTTATTGGCTGCTACTGAAACGATTAGTGTTTGTTGTTAACAGGCCATGGGTGCTGTTTAAACTTCATAGAGGGAGCAGAATTTCATAGGCATTATGTGGCCTGGGGACATTCTCACATGGCACACAGAGGGGCTGGGAAATCCTAAAGGAAATTAAATACAGCAGGAGGGGGCTTCCTGTTATGTTGATCAAGCCTGTTTTTCTCTCTGATAGAAGTCAGTGGTTGGTTTTGCTATCCTTTGGGGTATCAGGGTGCCTATCTGCTACTTGCAGAGCACATGGGAAAATTTATGCCAGTAAGTACAAGCTCTGAAGCACATCACTTTCAGCTGCACTTATATTTTATCACACAGGTTTTCCTTGAGCTCTTTTGTTCTACTAGATATCATTGTAAGAGTGTGATTTAAAACCTGATCCAGATTGATAGATTAGTATAAATGAATTAGAAAGAGATGAGTATATTTTAAGTGATTAGATGAGTAGGTATGTGGAAGATAACAAGTCAGATATGTTAGTGAGCATTTGGGTTCTTTCCTTGTAAATGAAAAGGCAATATTTATTTAGCTATAACAAATAATACAAGCCAGAAATTGTTATTTATCACTCAATGTTGTTATTGCATTATGGATCTCAGCTCAGTGGACAGCTCTTTAGTTCCTACTGGAGTGGACAGTAACATTCCCTTTCCTTTGGTTCCTTCTCAGCATTTCTCTGAGAATCTGGATCACTTCTCTGAGAACATGGAGGATTTTTCCAATGAACTCTTCAGCAGTTTCTTTGATGATCCAATGCTGGTTGAAAAGAACCCTCTGCTGGACATGGACCTGGACCCTCCCACTCCTGGCATCCAGGCAGAGCACAGCTACTCACTCAGTGGAGACTCTGCCCCCCAAAGTCCCCTCATGCCTGTCAAGACTGAAGATAATGCTAATGGTGAGCTTGGGAGATACGCACATCACAGTGTTCCAGAAACATATATGCTATGACCCAGCTATGGTATAAGAGCTGATGTTTGCTAGGAGAGGCACTGTGCTTCCATGACATGGGCTCTACTGGACAAAGGTGCTGCTTGCCCAGCCCAGGTTGGGTTCCCATGCATAAGGATACTGCCTGCTCCTTTGACATCACAGCACCTTCTCGCTGGATAAATCTGATCCATCACTGTGAACATGGCCTTTATTTTCTTCTCATTTTCTGTTCTAACATAATAATTGCTCATTTTCAGCGTTTAACATTACTCACACTGCTGATTATTCTCTGTGGCATAGTGCTTTGTGTGGTCCTGGTAAACTACTGGCAACAGTGCCATAGGACCTTGCTAGATTGGGTGTGGATGCACTAGATTTAGGTCCATGTTTGGCAGTTGCTAGAGAGGCTTGGCCTGGGTATAGGGAACATGCGCCCTGCCTGCTGCCAGAGCTGGTGCATGTGGAAAGCTAAATGGCTTCCTTACCAGCAGATGGCTTAGCAGGAGACAGAGAAACAGTCATTTCAAAACCTATTTTTAAAACAATTCATTTCAAGATAATTTATGATGGTTGGATATTTTTAGAGCAATCCTAGCAGAGAGTCCTGTAATTTGTGGCACGGTGTGGGTGTCCTAGCAGTTGATGGACATCAGACTGCCTGAAAAAACTATGGCACAGGTTCAGTATATACAGAAGAAGAAAGATGTTCCTTTTACCAAGAGTGAGGCCTAGGATAGAGGTTTCCCCAGTGTGACCAGAAATTGTCCCTCCTCTATAATATAAACACTAAGAGAGGAGGAGAGAAACTGCTATTTGCTGCCTCTGCTCCTTGTAAACTGCACAGTCAACAGCTCTGAATTCAGTACAAGTAACTCAGTGCACTGGAGGGTCCACATGTCAGGCCCAAATGCTATTCCTTAACTGTAAAATGTTTTACAGTCAAACATTTACTGTTACTGCCTGGACTTTAACACTAGCACACATGAGTACTCATCAGGAGCAGGTATTTTTGAGCAACTAGCAAAAGCCCAGAAGGTGTGAGCATATGGATAACACACCATACTTTTTGTGCTTTATGTAGTGCACACACATGAGTAAGTAAATAAAATGAGATGGAGGAGAAAGACTGCGATAGTGGGGTTACAAACAAACAGGATAGAGATGTGGGGAGCAGCAAAATACAAATCTAAGCAGACAAGTTGCCAACACAGGGACTGGTTTCTGCTATACACAACCACCTCAACCACTGCCACCTTTTTCCAGGTCTTGGCATCTCTCTGCTTAGATTGCAAGTTCTCTTGGACAGGATTCTTTTCTAAGGGAGAGTTTCTCCATAGTGTGGAGTGCTACCATAATATGCAGCATATGAGTCCCACTCATGCCAGTTGAGCTGAAGTGGGACTTAAGTGGTATAGCAGCCTGGGATTAGTTCAGCTATAAATTGCATCTATTCTGACAATGTGTGGAATGCACAGTTTTCACATGTACTTGTCCTTGGCCCTGTCCCTTCAGACCTATCACTCTACATTGTATTTAACAGTCCAATGCTTAAAATGTAGTGCCCATGAATGACTTTAATGGCAGTCAGAGTTAACCATGCCTTCTCTGCTTGCAGAGCTATTCAGCTGTCCCCATGGTAGAGCTGGCTGAGGCACGTTGCACACCCCCTTTCTCTTAGCTTCTCTGCTGTCATTTAAAACTTCAGAATCCTGTCCCTTCCAAAATCGCCACCCACCTACTGTGTTAGGCTGGGAGGTCCAGATTACTTTTCAGTCTCAGGAACAGAAGGTTGTGTCATGCTTTTGCTTTTCACGTGGCTAATGGTTTGTTGATATAGACAGGGACCTCCCGTTCTAGGTCCCAGACTTCAGTTCTGCAGACCAGTGTATACAGGCATGATTCCATAACAGTGGTAGGCTGTAGGTTTCCAGGGAAAAGGGTGTAGGCCTGGATAGAAACTAGTGGGTGCACTGTTGTTATGCAGAGTGGACTGTGCAAATAGTTTCTTGCCAGAATCTGCGGTTCTGGAGGACAAAGAATAAAGAGAAAAGAAGACGGTACACTTAATATCTCCTCCTCCTCCCTCATTTCCCTTCACTCCCCTCCCCACCTCCAGAGCAGCAATGGATTTCTGGTATCTGTGTGTGTTCATCTGTTACTTTTAACTGCACGTGCATTCCAAATATTTGAGTATGAACAAAAAATCTGGAAAAGGCTGTTGAGGCCATCTCCTGCCATCTTGCAGAGCAGGATGCAGTACTATCTGCAGTGTTTATAAATTGCCTAGTATTTGACGTGTCCTCCGAGGATGTGGAATATAGATGCATCCATGGAAAATGGCTTCTGATAATTCCCTTTTAATGAACCCTGTAGGCCTGTTTATCTCTAAGTCTATAACTTAATCTCTCTCCTAATATATCTTGGAGGGTAGGAAAAAGAGAGGGTCAGAATGTGCATGGGTGTGGGGGGAATGAAGGATAGTTTGTACTTGTTTGGGTGTCTGTTGCCTGGGTTGTATGGAGAGCTAGGGCCTAATGTGTCTAGACAAAGAGAACCACTTGCTTGCTCTCCTTGCCTTACATTGGTAAGAAGTTCAGGAGACCACGCCCAGGCAGAGGGGTTTCTGCTCCTCATATACAAAGGAAATTTAAAGCTTGCCAGTAGCATGGTAACACAGCAGGATGTGATCAGGAGAAAGGCAAGGTTTGTCTGAATTTGTTGGACACTGAAATTTCTGGCTAAGCATGTCCCCTCCTTTCCCCAACATTCAAAATAAAGGACTCATCTACATTTACAGTTCAAGCTGTGACTTGGTCTCCTTAACAAGTTACAGGTAACACAGTTTGGTTTGTGTTCACACAGCAGCTTTCCTGCCAACGCATATATGTGGGTGTACATTATGTGAGGCGGGCAATTATTTTGGGTGGAGGGTCACTTACTGAGTTTTGGCAAGCCATTGAGGGCTGCATGACAGGCAGCCAGGGGCAGATAAATATTAATTTTCTAAAGTTTTTAGGGGTCCCGCAGGCCAGATAGAATGGCCTGGCGGGCCACATCTCGCCCACAGCCCGCATTTTGCCCACCCCTGGTGCACATGCATACCTACAAAGCTGTTTAATCATGTCTGCATTGGTCCATTCTGGGAAATTCTAAGGAGCTATCCTCAGAGTTCATCAGCAGAGGACCTAATGCCCAGGATACACCTTTAAAGCAGCCTGGGGCAGTGAAAGCCAAAAAGGAAGGTGGACTAGCCAAAATTAATTACACAGGCACAGTGAAGGATCCTGGCTATGCAGCATACTAAGAGTGGGCCAAACCAGTTACAGGAAAATAGCACAGGCCACTGGCACAGACAGCTGCTATAATTAGGACCAGAGTCTAACTCCATTGTGCATGGGCACAAACTACAAGCTAGTCCATACCTCTCAGGTGGAACAGCGCAGAAGGTGTGGCTTAAGAGGTGTTTGGGTAAAGGAGGCTGTAAGCCACCTTTGCGACACCTTCATTCTGACTGTCAGGGGCTGCTGCAGTCCCCAGCATAAGTGACTTATGCTCTGACTTGTGGCAAACTTCTTATTGCTATGGAGAGGATTCTCCTACTCCACTTCTGCCCCTGGCATGCCCCAAGCCAGGGGGATTCAAGAAGGGGCGGTTAAGTGTTGCATACTCTGGTCCTGTGCTAGAGGAGCACTCCCCTGAGGTGTTGTATCCCCTTTGCAGGTCCTATTTGCTGCCAGAGAGCATCTAGGGTTAGGGCAGCAGGCCAGGATCTGGCTTCATGCTTAGAGCCAACTAGGACACTAACTGATGACACTTAGAGTAATTCATATGGCAGTGCCAATGAATTTCTCATGTTCAGATAGCAGAGGAAGAGAAGGAAAGGGGATTAGGGAGGAGGATATTGGACCCGGGCCAAGTACAGAGTAGCTTCTTGGCAGGCTGTGGTGCCTGAGAAGCAGGAAAGTTGAGACCACAACTTCAGAGCGGAGTCCAAGCAGCTCTCAGTTCTAACAGCTTTGCTTCTTCACTTCATCCAAATTGATCATCTCTCCTCGACTTAGTCCCAGCTCCTAGGATCTTGCATTCCCTTAACTGTCCTCACCCTAGCCCCATGCATGGAGGGCAATGCCCAGGCAAACCCATTCAGTGTTCCTAAATGCTTCCTTTTCTAATTCTCTCTATGTTGAAAACTACAGCATGCTACTGCCTGGGAGAGGGGAGGATGATAGCACTTGGGGAAAACCTGAGGGAAGTAGCCACAATCAGGATCCCAGTTTTGAGATATTCATAGAAATGAAAACACCATGGGTGAAACTTCTACCTTGTAGAAAAGTGCAGCACAAGGCCTGTCCACTACATACATCCCATCCCATTACACTTTCTCACCTTGCTAGCTGCCTCAGACAGGAAATCACTCTTTATTACGAGCAGAGCGCCATCCATGTCTGTGGCACTGGGTATGTGCATTAAGGAATACTCATCAGCTGTTCTGTTTTGATGGATATGGAAACAGAAGTAGCTAGGAAGCCAAGTGGACCAGTTTGGCATCCTTGTTCCAGTAAGAGAGACAAAGTCCCTCTCTGCCCATTGTTCTGTGCAGTCCCATAAGACCAGAGCAAAGAATGACTGTTCTGATAACAATGGTTCTGGATTGCATTTCAGAAGCCTTCACTGCATGTTGGGGGCTGTATTCTCTCCTGCATGTTGTGACAAGCTGGAGGCATGAGCCCCCCAGTTCCTGAGATCCTGTCACCACACATGGTGGATTTGAATGGTTCTTTTTCCCTGCTCTACAAACAGTGCCAGACACTGGATTCAAATCCACTTTGAACAGAAGGCATGTAGGTAAAATACATTGAAGCAAAAGGCTGAAACTTAAACTCCCAGAAGAAAAGGCCACTCCAAGAAAAGCTTCAGCCTAGGGTGTCCACGTACTGCTGGCTTATGCCACCCAAGAGACTTCAGCAACTCCCAGCCTTTCCAGAGCTTGGTCATGTGGACAACATATAGAAGCAATTTCTGCTTGTGTGGTGGAGCCAGCCCCTTCTTTGCTAATCACCTGGTGGGCTCTGCTTTTGGACCTACCTTGAACTTCTTCATAATGAAGTATACATTTGTTGCAACAAGCTCCCAAGAGCCAGTACCATGTAGCGAGTGTCATCTTTCCTCTGGAGCCAAATGCAATCTTTTTCACCAGAAAGAAGTAGCTCTGTGAGAATCTTACTTGACATTATGGGTGGATGAAATTTAGAGATGTACATACTTCAAAGGCAAACTCTTGTCTGCCTCAGACTGGGGGATGAGCTTGTGTACTGGCATCATCCTTGGGGAGCATTAATGCCCAATTAGCTGTCTTAAACCTTGAAAGCATGTGCATAGCAAAAGAGCTTAATGCATAAGACATACATTCAATCTCCTCTCCCCGCTGGAAGGGGGACCCTTCTCTGGTAGGGTAAAGGCTTTTGGGGTCCCTTTCTTTGTTCTGTCACTGCTGAAGTTTCATGAGGTTTGAGATGCGTGTTGCGCTTGTTTCAGATCTGGAGAATGGAGTGTGGTCCTTAGGACACAAGCTGTGCTCCATCATGGTGAAGCAGGAACAGAACCTGGTCCCAGAACTTCCCAAGTCCCAGCTTACAGCCAGTTCGGTGCCAGTGCTGAACCTCAACCAGCTGCAGAGACTACCAGCTCCTGAGGAGGTGAGCCTGATTTACCCACAGTACACAACTTCTGACTTTATCTCCAGCATTGTGGCCACAGGTAATTTCAATTTTCAGCTTGACGTTAGGATCTGTTTTAGGTCACTGAGATTGGGCAGGAGGATGATGGTAATGCAGAGTTTGATACCCAAATATTTCAGCACAGGGAATTTGCCCACTTGAAATAGCAATTAAAGCTGACTTGGGTTCAGTGTTAAACTGATTTCATTCCTACCTGAAGTGCAAAGGGACTGACTGTGGAAGCACTGTAAGATCTATCTGTCTCCAGTACAGTTGACTTTGATCTCTTAACCATCTGTGTTTGCCTCAGGGACATTAATTTGAGTCTAAGTCAGAGTCATCTAGTCCTTCACTTGCATTGCAAGTTGCTGGAAGGCCCTTTCCTTCTAATCTGCTGATATTTCTTGAGCCTTCCTTGGTTTGTTTTTCTCAGATGGGGATACCAATATGCCAGGGAATTTTTAAATGGAGTTCCTTGAGTTAGATACATTCAAGGAAGGCAGCATTCACTAGTGGACTGAATAGGAGCCTGGTACTCCTGGGTTCAGTCCCATCTCTAGCATAGACTTGTCACTGTTTAGTATGCCTGGGCCTGGGTCTGACACACCACCTCTTGCTTTTCCAAGCTGTGCAAGGGAGATAATGATCCTTCTTCATGGTTCTGATTGTTTTTGTTTGGGAGGATTCAGAAGGACCCCATGCGCTAAGGGTTAAGTATTATTAAACTAATTTTCAAGAACTGAGGAACCAAACCTCTTGCTTGCTTCTAAATTTTTCAGATTTTTGTTTCTCATCAGTACCCTGAGACCACTTGTACCCATGAGATCCTGGGTGTAGCTGAGGCACTCAGTTTTTCCCCAATTCCATCCTGGTCTCTTTGGCCCTGTTAGGTTTGTCTGGTCTCATTTAGTTGAGCTGCCGTGTGTCTTGCAGCCCATCAGATACAGTCAGGCTTCTGCAAGGTTCACTGCTCATGGTCAGCGTCTTCCCTTTAAAATGATTCTATGAAACCAATCAACCTTTTGAGCCAACAATGTGCACACGGTTCCTTCATTATTTATACAGCTTGAACTTGCTGTGCCTTCACATGGAGATCCATTCTGTGTGCTTGTCAACAGTACCCAGAGCCCTTCCTCAGCTATTTGTAGAGTCTGGGGCAGATTTCAGTGCGTCTGTTCAGTGTAAAAAAACTCTCTAGTCTGTGGTAGCTTGGGGGAAGGGAGGCTAGGAACAGAGGGGTAGCTCAGCCGAGCTGGGAACAAAGTGCTCTTCGTGTTAACTCTTAATCTCATTTGATCAGAAACAGCTGTTCAGTGGCCCTGGAGAAAGTCCTAAGCAGGAGAAGTTTCACTCTGTTTCTACAAAGCCTGCATAAATACTCCCAGCTCTGATTAAGGTAGATCAAAGAGAGGCTATCCTCTTCATCAGGAGGGCAGTTCAAATAATGCTTTCTGGGTTGAAAGGTAGGGTAATGGCACAGAAGAATACAGTCCTCTATTTTGGAGGGGTTATGCAAGAGCCAGAGAAGCATGGCTGTGCATTACTTCCCTGCCCTCACAGAATACACTTGTCTGCATTCTGTTTTGCCCAGAGATAGAGGGCAGGACTATGCACAGTTTTTTGGCTGCCAATACGCCTGCCATCAATTCTGCAAGAAAGCTGGGGAAATGAGTTGTAGGGCTCAGGTGTGGAACAGGGCAGAGCAGAGGGTTAGGGAAATGTGGCTGCAGTCAGTGCTCATGATGGTGGTTTGTGAATGGTAGGGAAGGGAAGTGGAAGAGAGAGGCTGAGGTAACTGTATATTTTTGTTTTTTTCATAGGCTCCTATAGAAATTACTCCACCACCTGTGATCAAAGCTGAGCCCAAGGAGGTGAACCAGTTTCTAAATGTACCTGCAGG